TATATATATATATATATATATATATATATATATATATATATATATATTAGATAATGTTTTTATGTTTTATGTTACGTGGTTCACTCATATAGGTAATTACCACCACATCCCTCTGTAGTAACTTATATCTTTACAGTCTTTTAGTCATGCTTTTAGCATTTAGCCAGTTTTAGTTGAGGCTGTATTTAGCCACATTTATCAAATGAGCCATGTCAATCCCAATTTGAGCTCCTATGAAACATGATGGACACATTCTGGTTTGCATAATTTAGTAACTATAATTAATTATGTAGGAAAATAAATGAACAATGAATGAATAAATTAATTTCTGTACTAAACTGCATTGACCTTTCCAAATTGCCAATCGTTGTTGTACAAAAGAGGATTAGACAGGAACAATAATTCATCTGTAGAAGACGACATAATTCCAGGGTTTTTAGAGCTCACTACAGTGGAAGCACATTGAAAATACTGATGATGTACGGAAGCGCAAAATGTTTTAAATAGTTATTAACCAACCTGGTCTTTAATGATATGACCGCAAAATTAGCTGCAAAAATGTTGGTGCACTTCATAAGTCTAGCTTTGGTTAAGTCGAGGAGGGATTCCTCTCGGTGAAATAGATGCTTTTAAAGGAAATGTCATCATTTAGCTTATGGCCTGTTGTAAGTCATTTATCTGTTTACTACAGGCTTTGAAATTAAAATTAAAAGTGACTAGTTTTGACTGAAGCTTTCATGAGAATAGAAAAATCATCAAAAACCTAAATGGCTGGCTCTGACTCAATAAAAATCTGATTCTATAGCTGACCGTAGTATACAAATGCACACAGATATGAGCTCTGTGCTGTGTAATAACACTTAGTCCCAAATATAATTTGAAATGGACACTTCCAGGTCTGTCAGAATCAAATTTAAAGCAGTCAGTATTTTTGAAGTGAGTTTAACCCTTTTCTGTATTTTTCTCCCATCAACTCATTTTCTTTCCTTCTCCATTTATTGTTTCTTTTGTTTGTGTTAGCCTTTACACTTCAACCCAGAACTCAGACACACGAGGAGTTTTACTTTGAATATGTACCTGATCGCCTTCAATGGAAGACTGCAGAGGAACTGTGTAAGCAGCGCTCCGGGGCCTTAGCCACAGTCTCCAACCCAGCAGCAAACCAAGACCTAGCCAGCTTTCTAAAATCATTAAACATCTCTCAGCCTGTGTGGGTTGCCAGGAAACTTCTGAAACATCAGACAAGTAGGTCCAATATTCAATTTGTTACATAGTATATTTACATATGAGCAATCTTTCTTTTTAAACAGTAGTCTTAGTTATATTTTCCCTGCAAGGGTTTTTTAACCCTACTCACACCCTTAGAATAGGGTTGTATAATTAACATTTCCTAATTGTTTACAACAGAATCAGGACTCCAGACTGAATTTTCTTGATTAGTCCCCTTTCTGCCAAAAGTTACAAAATACTTTTTGTGTGTGTGTGTGTGTTTTCATTGCTACTCTTTTTGTTTGTTTGCGGTGAAACTAAAGGTTCCTCCAAGTCCCTGATTCTGGAGTTCTCTAGGCGCTCGAGCACGAAGAACGCACGCCTAAAGCACAAGTTCCCCTCCATGGACTCTGTGACTGTTTGCACTCAGCTACGCTTCGATCCAAACTGCGTTGGAATTTCCACAATCTTCTCTTATTCCATCCCGTCCTACATTAATGAGTTCCAGCTCCGAGCAAACGTGGTCCCGGGCAAGACTGTGCAGTTAGCTCTGCTGATCCATGGAATTCATGGCCCTTACGAAGAGGCATTCGAACATGACGGCTCCTGGCACTCCGTGTGTGTTTCTTGGAGCCAGGTCGGTGGCCACTGGGAACTACATACTAATAAATTTTTAATATCAAAGGGGGATGGCCTTAACAGTAATAACAGCATTGGCCCTGGTGGACTTTTCATCATTGGTCAAGAGCAGGACACATTTGGAAATTCTTTTAACTCTCATGAATCTTACTGCGGGAGCATCACGGAGCTGCACATTTGGGATCGGGTGCTGAGCAGCAGTGAAATATTCACAATGGAAATGGAGTGCTCACCCATCTCCCCTGGGCTAGCGTTCAAGTGGAGTGAAGCAGCCATGGAAATAGAGACCTCCCTTACAAAGCTGTGGAAAGACAACCAATGTCAAGGTACATTAGTCTAAAATTCAAACCAAAGTTTATTTTTCATCATAAAAGTACAGAAGTTTAAGTTCACCTCAAAGACAGAAGAGACAGCAGCTGGTCAACACGGTCCAGTGGTTGAGCCAAACTTTTAATTTAGACTGGGTGGGGTTGCTATGCAGAAAAACAATCAAACAGACCCGGTTTAACACTGTTGAGTAACATGCCAAGCTCTGAGCTGTCCTGATGTAGTAAACCTACCCATCTGGCATTTTGTTCAGTCTAAAAGAAATGATACATTAGAGATGTCAACTGACCCTAATCTGCTGGGTTTCTGTCCTGTATTTATCCACACTTTTTCCATTCTCTAAATCTCAGTAGAATGACCGTATTTTTCGGACTATTAGACGCATTAAGCGAAACAAAATGGTCAGATAAGTCAAACTTTTGTTCAACTCATTCACAATAACTCAACATTGTTCAGTTGTACCACATAAAATCGGTTCGAGGTCAGTAAGCACAACCAGAATTAATATATAAGGCGCACTGGATTATAAGGCTCACTGTTGATTTTTGATAAAATTAAAGGATTTAAGTGTGCCTTTATAGTCCGAAAAATATGGTAAGAGGTTTTAAACTGGTAGTTTTAATGAAACTGCTGTATTAAAATTAACATGGTATCAAGTAAAATAT